CTAGTCCCCACTCGACACTGCAGTCAGGGGGATCTTTCTAAGGGTCAGTTCTGAATTTATTAAAAAAAATATGTAATTTATTTTATTTTTGTTGTTGAGAATATACACAGCAGAACATAACACTAATTCAACAATTTCTACATGTACAATTCAGTGACATGGATTACATTCTTTGATTTGTGCAACCATTCTCATCCTCCTTTTCTGAGTTATTCCTCCCCCATTAACATAAACTCACTGCCTTCTAAGGATCCTATCTAATCTTTCAAATTGTTGTTGTCAATCTGATCCCATATAGATAGATCTTGAAAGAGCGCCATGCTCAAGAGTGGCACCACTGGGAAGGTACAGGGGGTGCCGACTGCACTGGGTGACGCTGTCAGAGTGGCTGATACCAAAATGACTTTCTGCAAACGTTTTGTGCAGTGTTGTGGCATAAATTTATTATTTTTTTATAAAAATATCCTTGTAGTTAGTTACAACAACAATTTTTTTTTTTGTGTGTGTAAACCCAGTTTACATGTAGCTATATACCTACAAGGTTAAAACTCTATACTAATTTACTTTTTGAACCTTCTAATGCACCCTGGTCAGAGCTGTCATTATTACCCAATTACAATGCTTTGAATCACGCGGCTTCATCTGCATGAGCTACAGGCATGTGCTGTTGTTTTTGTTGCTGCTGGTGTTCTTATAGTTGCTGATTTGTCAAATTTTCTGGTGTTATTTATTTCTTTATTTTTAGAATGAGGTAGTAATTAAAGGAAAAGAAGGAGAAAAATTAAAAATGCCTTCTGCTCAGTCACTAACAATATTGTCACTGACAATGTTGTCACTAATAATGTTGTAATTCAACGTAGAAAGATTCTACAATTTTGTTGTTAGTACTCATGTAATCTAAGAAATAATACATATAAGCAATTTACAACTATATTTATCACATATCATTCTGTGATTAAAATTGATAATAAACTTACATGTATATCCATGGGGAGGGTGACACCATGAGTTATTGCACTGGGTGACACCAACCCTAGGGATGCCACTGACGCTTAAGGCAGATATTCTTTAGTAGTTAAGCTAAACTATTGTTTGGTTTTAAGAATAATTCAGGGGATATTTTTGGTTTAAGATTTAAGGATTATTTCAGGGCAATAGTTTCAGGGGTTCATCAGCCTCTATGGCTCCAGAAAATCTGGATCCCATGAAAATGTAAAATTCTGTTCTGCATTTTCTCCCTTTTGATCAGGATTCTTCTACAGAATCTTTGATCACAATGTTCTGTAATGGTAGCCAGGCACCATCCGGTTCTGGTCTCACGACAATCAGTTCTGACGTTTGTGGCCATTTGTCTGACTTGCTGAAGGACAAGCTCAATAGATGTAATCTCTTAAATTCCCCAAGCAACCTATTGACACAGGTAGAGATCATGTCCTCCGTCTCTCCTCTGCCCCAAGGACTCTGTCTACTGGTCGTGGAGGGGCTTGGATGTGTACAGACTGCAAGGACTTCACCCTGTAACCTTCTCATGGTTGGTACCAGAAGCCACCAGAAGACACTGGCCCCAGGAACAGAGAGTGTCCTGCAGGCTGGACCTCAGTTTGCCAGTCCCCACCCACAGGAACACAGAGTCCAGTTGTTGGGTTCTTGGAAAAGCTGCATCAGAGGGTTTAATGAGTGACCTGCAGGGCTGTTTTCCATCCCTGATGGTGCGCAACAGCCTCAGAGGTCAGGCAGTGCTAGAGGGCTGGGAAGCTGGATGGGGCCCCGGCCAATGACAGCAGGCAGCTGGAAAAGCAGAAGTGGAAACAGCCATCTCAGAGCTGGCTCCAGCTGCAGCTCCCTTGAGAGGTGCCTCCTCTACTCAGTGACCATCCCTGTAGGTGTGGGCAGGGAGGAGCGGGGTGAGTCTGGAGCTGGGAGTCAGGGCCTGGGTTCAAGGCTTGCTGCAAGACCTCCAGCAAGTCATTCTTCTCTAGGCCTCCATTTTGTCACCTCAAGTGGGAAAAGGAGGAGAAGGTAGGAGAGGAAGTGAGCCAGAGTGAATGGACTCTCCCTTTGCAGCTTGTCAGATCTTAAATTTCTCTTTGTCCTGCTCCTGGCCCTTTTTCTCTTCCCTCATCCTTCTTCCTTGGCGGAGAGTGGAGGAAGGGGAGCCTAATGGGTAGAGCCCTGGGCTCTGCAGTCAGATGGGCCTGGATTAAGTCCTTCTCTTCACATCTAAGCTCTGTGACCTTGGACAAGTGACTCATCTCTGAGTCCCCATCTGTGAAATGGGGATACTATTTCCTGCCTCTGGAGTTCCTGGGAGAATTAAATAAACCTGGGTCCATAAGGCACTGGATAGGGACTCAAATGGTAGCTCAGCAAATGTGAAGGGCCTGGGCGGGACTGGGGAGGGGCAAGCAGGTGAGCCCAAGGGTGAGAGGGGAGTCAGCACCGCCCCTCTGCAGGCCTCAGCCTCTGCAATGTCTTCCCCCTGGGCTGACCTGTCTCTCCTCCTGGGCTGCAAACTCCCTGGCTCCATAAAAAATTAACAGCTCAGCAAAGGGCAGGGCTTTCACTCTGACCCATGGGCCCCAGTGTTGCCCAAAGAGGGGCATTCAGCCCAGGAAAGGCACCCATAGAGGGCCCTAGACGAATAGGGTGTAGGAGGGCCTGGGAAGCCCCCCATTTCTGCCCCCCTCCCCAAAAATCTCTCCTCCCTCCAGCAGGAAATTCCACTTTTAGTGACTTCTTTTGCTTAAAGCAGGGCTCAGCATCTGTTATGAAGCCTGCAAGCTAAGAATGGTTTTCACGTTTGCAAATGGTTGAAAAAATCAAAAGAATTCATGACATGTGCGAATTATGTGACATCCAAATTTAAGTGTCCATAAAGTTTTATTGGAATACGTTTACTCCTATTTGTTTACAGGTTTCCTGTGACTGCTTTTGCACTGCAATAGCAAAGGCAAGTAGTTGTGACAGAGACTGTATGTCCTGCAAAGCCAAGAATATTTACTATCTGGCTATTTATGAAAAAAAGTTTGCAGACTCCTAGTTTAGAGGAAACCAACCAATTTTGAAAGAAGTACCCCTGGGGAAGGTTAAGTTGGGCTGATTAAGTCAAGAGCTTAGTCAAGAGTCCCAGCTCCAGCCATTAACCAGGCACCTGTCAATCAACTCATGCCCCCTCCCTAATTCTTCCTTTCTCCATCTGTAAAATGGACCCAGTGATTGCTTTCCTGTTTACCCCCAGCATTGCTGGAAGGTATCATTTAGACAGTCTGATTGTCACTCAACCGTTAATGGGAAATAGCTCACTCAGACTGCTTTCCTCATCACCCAGATGACAGAATTGGATGCTAAGGGGGAGATGACCATGGTCACTGTGAACACGGGAAGCAAGGGGAAAGGAGCCTTTTTCTCCAAAACACAGTGCATAAAGAGACAGCCTGTTTTTCCCAGAGGCTGTTATCTGCAGACAGTTGGCAACAGGGAGGCCACGGGAGGTGGGGACTGCAGCCAGCCCAGGAGGGCAGGGACGGAGGAATGGAGAGGAGAAGTAGCGCTGGGCATCTGCTAACTCCATGCACCTGCTCTCCCCCAGAGTCTCAGACCCAGGCCCAGTGTACTGGACACATACCAACATGGACATTTTGAATCTTGTCTCCCCCCAGCTTGCTCAGCCTAAACCAAAGTTTTCTCCTGTGGCCAGAAGACCCCCACCATCTCTTCACCTTACCTTTCTGACAGTTATCTCCCACTTCCTTACCCTCCCCCCCCTTACTCAGCTCCAGCCACCCTGGCCCGCTTGCCTGACCTGCACCACCCAAGCGCGCTCCTGACTGAAGGCCCTGATATTGCTGTTCCCCTCTGCCAGGAACACCCTTCCCTGAGATGTCCGCATGGCTTTCGACCTCACCTTCTTCAGGTCTCTGCTCAAATGTCCCCTCAGTGAGGCCTATCCTGACCAGGTGAGTGAAAACTGTACCTCAACCTTTCCAACTTCGCTTTTCTCCCTAGCACAACGGTTTTATGCTCACTGCCTGGCATATAAGCAGGACTCAGTGACTCTTTGGTGAGTGAATGAATGAGTGAATTTAATTCATTCATTCAAAAATCATTATGATTTTTTTTTTTTTTTTGCTACTGTGTATCGCTATCTGTGTTCATTTAATTCTCCTCACAGCCCTACGTGAGTGTGGGGGTTGGGGGAAACCTCTTATAATCATATTTTATGGATGAGGAAACTGAACCCAGACAGGATGAGTGACTTGCCTGAGGCCACCCTACTCATAAGGGGCCTGGGGCTGCTAGACTCCTACTCCAGTGCTCTTGGTCCAAAACAGATGGGTGGTGGTCTCCCTCCAGGCCAAAACCCCCCATCACCAAAGCAAATAATTGGACAAAAAAATCAAGCTGGTTAAGGACAATTGTTTTTATATTATACACACATTCCCGGTTTGGGATAACAGTGGCAGGTGTGGGTGGGTGACAGGTGCTGCCACCCCTCACAGGATCTACCCCACCCCTCAGAAGTCTTAGTACATTGAGTCCCTGCCCCAGGTGCACTGTGTCCCAGTTGACCTCCCCCTGGTGCCTGGGGCAGACCCGGAGGGGCGGCTAGACTCGCAGGCTTTACTTCTCAGCCCTGCTGGCAGGCCCTGCCACCGGAAGGGCAGCGTTTGACACCTGCCTGGCCTGACACTGAGGGTAGCCATGGGGTGGAGGGCTCAGGTCCTTAGGTCCTGGGGTCAAGGCTGAGCACAGGGTGATGTTTACTGAAGGTCTTGCTGACGCACAGGGGCGGGGGAAGATGACATTTCCGCTTGCCACAGCAGGGTGGTGTGGGCAAGGGCCACCCTGCGCCGCCTGAGCCAGGTCTAGGCGGGGGGGGGGGGGGGGGGGCCCCCCTTCGCCCCTGGGGGCGGTTTTCGGGGGGGGGGGGGGGGGGGGGCTGGCTCCTTTCCCCCTGGGGGTCGCTGGCCCAGGAGCTGCTGCCAATGACCCTTTCTCCCTCAGTAGGGGTAAGGTGACACAGCAATGAGCAGGACGAAGACGCTTTGGTGGCGTGGCGCCACAGCGCGCACTGTGAGCCGGTAGAGGCCGGCGCGAGTGAGCGGGCGGCGGGTGTACACGGCACCATAGCCAGCGCGCAGCGGGCGCAGAGCGAACGGGCTGCGCGGGTCGGGCTTCAGCACGCTGAGCTGGGTGCGGTTGGCTGGGACGCCGGCCTCGGAGAAGGCGGCAAGGCGAGCCACGTCGCGGTGGGCGTGCACGCCCAGGGGCAGCGGCAGCAATCTGTACTGCAGCGTGGAGGGGCCGCCCTCGCTGCAGTCCTGTGAGCAGCGCCGGAAGCAGGTCCTGCGGGCCAGAGAGACAGGCCATCGGAAGGAGGCCCGGCCGCATTAATCGGTCCTCAAACCTGAGCTCCCCCTACCTTAACTCTCCCCGTGCTCTCCCGGTACCCCTGCGCCCCAAAATGCACTCACAAGGACCACTGTTAACCCATTTCTGGGACCAACAAACTGAGTCCCAAAAAAGCCAGAGACGTGCCCTTTCCTGTCGGAGCAGTTCTCCCCGGAGGATTTTCCAGCCCACGCCCTAGGGCAGCCCAGCTAGCACAGGGCAGGGATAAAACAGAGCTCTCGGGGTCCACCGCGGGCCGAGTCACTGGTTCTGGACAGACTGGGAGGAGGGCTGTTCTCAAAGACACGTGCTCAGCCTTGCCAGGGGCACGGCTCCAGCTCCTGCTGGGATTCTGATTGTAAGGCCCAGGACAAGCACGTCCCAGTAAACCTTCCCTAACCACTGTGGCTCTGCCCACCAAGGTCCCCAAGTCTCCATGCATCTTTATGAGTGTCTGTAGCCACGGTGCGTGGTCTTGCTGACACACGGGGGCAGGGGAAGATGACATTTCCACTTGTCACAGCAGGGTGGTGTGGGCAAGGGCTTCCCTGCTCTGCCTGAGCCAGGGCTAGGCAGTGGGGGTGGTTCGCCTCCTTTCCCCCCATGCCCCAGGGGTCATTTTGTGTGTGTGTTTTTGGGTGGTGTTTATATGTCTGTGTGCATGTTTGTGTGTTGCTATATGCCCTTTGTGTCTCTGTGTGTAATGTTCTTCCAGCAGCCGCATTCTCCCCCAATTCCAGCCTCTCTGGGCCCCTGGCGCTCATCAAGAGGAGCTGGCACCCAGGGTGGTTGCAGGAAGGCACCCTGCCTTGCCCTGTGGGCACAGAGGCTCTGACAAAGAGAGGGTCCTGATGGGGCTGCCCAACCTCGGGCTGGGATACCGCCAAGTGCGACTGACCACCTTCCTGGAGGTGGGGTCTGGCTGCACAGGAGCCAGAGTGGAAGGACTGGGTCCCCTCTCTCCACCTCCTCGTCCCTAGCTGACGCAGTCCTTACCCAGGGCTGGAGCCCCGCCGGTAGGTGGTGGGACATGGTGTGTCCACACACTGGTAGCTGCCGCGGGTGTTGAAGCACATTTGGCCGGGCTCACACTCGATGCCATCCTCCTCACACTCATTGATGTCTGGGTTGGGGGAGGTTGGCCAAGGGAAGAGGGAAGTGAAAGACGGAGCAAAGGAGAAGGGTGGAAGGCAGAACCAGAGAAGAGGGGTGGGATAAGTGGGACAGAAATACCTTCAGAGGCCCAAAGGTGGGAGGCCCTGCTCCCCTTGTCCCCAGCTAGCCTGACCCATGACAGTCCAGCCCGGAGGCCTCTAGAACTTCCAAATCTCCTCAGGAGCAAGGTGGGCACCCTGAGGTCCTCTTGAAGCCCAGTGCTGGAATGGAGAGCCCAGGAGAGTGGAAGGCTGTCCTGGGGGGCCAATTTTGTCCTTTTTATCCAGAGGGGTCCACTACCCACAGGCAGAGCGGCCCCCAATCCTCATCTGCCCCAGTGGGAGCCTCACCCTTCTGAGAGAAAGTTCACTGACCCCCATGACAGACACAAGGGTTGGAGACATGCCTGGCAGGCAGGAGTCCCATTTTCCAGACGGGAAAGCAGCGTGACTAGCCCCAGCCCTGGAGCACATTATGGGCAGAGCTGGGCTCAGAGGAACGTGTTCCCGACTTGGCAGTTAATAAAAAAAAACAACAACCCATTGCAGTCAAGTCGATTCTGACTACCACCAGCAGCCACCTTGTGGCAAGCATTGGCTCTGTGCTGCTCTGTGCCCAGGCTCTACATGTCTTATCCCAGCCGTTTGGGAGTGGGTGGGGGAACTGTGTTAGTCCCATTTCACATAGGAGGCTGAGGCTCAGAGAGGTGAACTGAGTTGCCGAAGGATACACAGCAGAGCTGGGATGTAATCCCAGGGTTACAGAGCCTATCCGCTTATTCTCTTAAGGTTCTTATTTCAAATGTGGGGCCCAGCCCAGCCCTCACATGGCTGTGGGAGCTTGGGGTGGTCTCTTGACCCCTCTGAGCTCATCTCCCTGCCCCATCTCACAGAAGGATGGTCGTGAAGTGGCCTGCAGAACTACAAAGGGCTGGAAGAGCAGAGAGGGTGAGATCCCAACACATCCCTTCCCACGTTGCCCAACCCTGCTCCCTCCAGTGTCTAGGATGATGGCCCTGCCCTGGGCATACTCACCTTGGCAGTTCTTTCCGCTGGGGAGGAGGCGGTAGCCGGCGGGGCAAAGGCACTGGTAGCTGCCTTCAGTGTTCCGGCAGGCATGCTGGCACAGGTTCCTCACCTGGCACTCATCAAGGTCTGGCCCGAGCATGGCCGTGGAGGAGGGGGGATGGCAGGGGCAGAGACACACTGAGTCACACATGCCCACGTGGACATATGTCTGCCTGCCAGATTCTGGGGCAGACCAGGGAAATTCCCCTCCATGGGCGGCCCATACCTTCTCCCCACCCTACCCCACTCAATGCCCATCCTGGCTTCGGACACTGAGGGAGTCCTGGCCTTGGCAAGAGTCAGGAGCCCTGCCCTTCCCAGACCCGTGCTCACCAAGGCACCGGTATCTCCCACTGCAGACTCCTCTGTCCAGGTGGGAATGCTGAAGTGTGTCAGCCCTCAGGAGGCTACGGCCTCGTCTCCCCTCTCTGCAGCCCAGGGGCCCTGTCCCTGACCACCACCTCCCCACTCCCCGACCCCCTGCATCCACCAGTCCTTGTTCACATTTTCATATCTACCTGGAGCATTCTCTTTCATGCCTGAAAATCTCCCTCCCTGAATGCTTCACCTCTGAGCACCAAGAATAGTGTTTCTCAAAGTGGGTTCCTAGGAACTATTCCCCAGGAGACCCTCCCTCTGGGAAAAGTGTCCAAAGTCAAATAGTTTGGAAAATGTCCCATCTCCCTCTTGGAGGCCACTTGCCCACTAGCACAGCCAAGGCTCTGAGATGCCCTGTAGCAAAGGAGCAGCCTCAATTTTGCCTGGCCCTGCGTTTCCTAAACTCCTTGGCCATGGAACCCCCCTTTCACCAGACAACTACTGACACCCCCTGGAACAAGTGTATGTCTTGAGAAACACCATTCAAACAGTCTGCCTGCACCACCTGCCCAACCCGTCTGTGAATACTGTGTTTCTGAACATGGTGACTGGACCCCAAACTCTCAGTCTGGAAGCCTGAGATAACATGGCAGGCGTGTCCCCAGGGAGATGGTTGGGCCCGACCTTACCTGTGCAGACGCCATTCTGCCTGATGAAGCCAGGGGGGCACCAGGCCCGGCCCATGCTGCTCAGAGATACAGGACCCGGCCGGAGGGAGACCCAGGTGTAGTAGGAGCCACCTGGGATGGGGGCACGGAGCCGCAGCCCGGGCGCAAAGGGGCCCCGGTGTCTGACAGTGGTCACATTCCGTCCACTCCACTCCAGTGGAGTGCAGGTCTTGTCATCACGGAGCAGGGTCTGGCCCGGCGGGCACAGGCAGCGGTAGCTGCCCTGGAGGTTGTGGCACTGGAAGGCACAGACCTTGGGCAGCTGCAGACACTCGTTGATATCTGGGAAGGGGCCGGGGCCAGGCAGTGGTGCTGAGGATGGGTCAGGGTTCGTCACATGATCTGCTCTAGCTGACTCTCTAGCTCATGCCTCCCCAGAACCCAGCTCCTCGCACGCGGCACCAGGCCTTCCTCCAAGCCTTCCCTTCCCAGACCACACCAGCCTCTTCTCCAACTCCGCCTCTATGGCTCAGAGGCCCGAATCTCCCCCAGTTCTGAGCATTATCCTGCCTCCAAGGCCCCTCATCCCCACATCGCTTCAGTGTCCTAGGTAGGTTGATTCTACCTCCTAACCCTCTCTGAGGTCCACCCACTTCTTCCCACCCTCCCGCTCCTCTTGGGCGCCCAGGGATGGTGGCCTCATAGGGCTGGGGTGAGGGTGTGATAAAGCAGGGAGAGCTCGGTTCCAGGCTGTGGTTTCAGTCATTTGCAGGACTCAACACCAACGTTGTCGTAAATACCGACTGCCTGTGAGCCAGCAGTGCTGACCAGGGCCCCAGCGAGGGGCTGGGTGTCCCCATACCTAGGCAGGGCAGGTGTGGGCCCTGGCTCCGGTACCCCCTGGGGCAGCTGCAGCCGTGCCCGCCTGGGGTGTTCTCACAGATCTGGTTGTAGTGACACTCGTCCAACTGCTCCAGACACTCATCCACATCTGGGGAGGCAGGGGTGGGGTCAAGGGTGAGATCTGAGCTCAGATTCCCTCCCCCAAGGAATGGACCACCCCCCCCCCCCCATCTGGGCCTCATCCCCTGAAGCCAACACTTGAAACCACCCTCCCAATTATACCAGGTTTGGAGGTTAAGTGGGCTCTGAGCACACAAGCAAGAAAGGGGCTTAAGAGGTGGGCTTTGGAGGTGGAGAGTCCCAGGTTCAAGCTGAACTGAGCTCTGCCATTTCTAGTCCTTGGGCAAGTGACTTCTCTCTGAGCCTTAGTTTCCTCATATGTAAAGAGTATAAGGATGGGACCACTTCATGCGGTTCTGGTGAGAAAAGAATTGGATCGTGCAACTAAAGGGCTTAAGATCCTGGTACATGGGAACTGTTCAAACAATGGCGAGAAAGAAGGAAGGGAGGGAAAGATGGTGGAAGGCAAGCAGGCAACAGGCAGAAGAGCCCTATAAAGAGTCAAAGCAATCCAAGGACCCTGAGGCCCACTGAGGTTGAATGAGTGCATCTTCTGAGTTCAAGTTCACCCACCATGCTTTCCAGTGGATGGTCTCTCTTGGAGGAGCCAGGGAAACCCAGAATCATGAAATCAAAGAACGCTAGGGTAGAAAAGACCCTAGAGATTGTTCATCCAAGGGTGGCACCTAGGTTTTGTCTCAAATGCCGATTGCAATTGATTGGTAGTGGCTACTGGGGAAGCTGTGTTGAGAAGGATTCAGAACCAGTGTCTAGGCCTAGCCAGAAAAAGGGCCATGATCTATGTGGGGAAATAGGGTACGTGGCAGCAGATGTATCATGTTTGCCAACCTTGACCCAGTCTCCCCATCACTGAACAGATGAGAAACTTTCTAGGGCCCAGAAAGTAAAATACACTCATGAAAGGGTCCTCAAGTTGCCAGTAGTCAAGCTGGGCTAGAACCAGCCCAGACCTCCTGAGCCCTAGCTCAGGCTCTTTCTATCTGGCCTCACTGGGCTCCTTCTGCCAAAGAGAGGTTCAGCTCTCCCCGAAAGTCCAGCCCCCTAGTGACACACAGTCCCCCTTCAGCTAAACTCTGGCAACTGCTGGGTTCCCAGGAGAATGGACAGGCCCCAAGCTGTCCCCGTCACCTTCACAGCTAGCCCCGTCAGCAGCCACCCGGAAGCCAGGCCTGCAGTAAGGAAGGCAGTGGTAGGACCCGAGCAGGTTCACGCAGCGCTGCCCCTCCTGACAGAGGTGGGCATCCCATGCACATTCGTCCACATCTGAGGGTGAGGGAGGGGCAGATGGCTTCATGAACATGTGTTCCCCAGACCCTCCTTGCTACCCGCACTCTGGCCCAGCTTACACACACAGGTTTCATCCCCCGGGCCCACAAGCCTCTGGGTGGTCCCCACCCCACCTGCAAGCTCTTTCCATCATCCTCCCCTCCTCTCTGAAACACAGAGAACAGGCAAGGGATCCAAGGGCCTTGGCCTGAAGCTTCCGAGATGAGGTGGCAGACAATCTCCTGGGTGCCCAGCTTGAAGCCCACGGAGACCTGGCTATGGAATGCAGCGCCAGGCCCTCCGGATGCAAGCGGTGAGACACAGATTGGAGGTCAAACATCAGGACAGATCTCTCACTATCAGATTTGCCGTCTGGCAACTTTGCTGAGGGGATCAAGTAGAGCAACCTGGGCAAATGGGTGTCAGTTCACTTGCCAACACCGATCGATTGGAAATGACTGCTGGGTGTTGAGAAAGCATCTAAGGCCGTGTTAACGCTTAGCGGGTATAAACGCCAAGAGCACGCGGTAAACTCATGCATGTGCTCAAGGAACCCCCACCATCACACCCCCAGTGTCTGCACCTCTCTCATCAGCAGCCTCACAGCAGAGAAGGAGTTCCAGTGGGGTCAGGGCATTGGAAATTGCAGGCTGGCATCCAATGCCCTCTGCAACAGGCCATCCCCTGAGGTATATGCCCCAGGCCAAGGTCCTCACTCCAGGGACCCCATGCATACACCTCCTTGCTGAGCCAGGTTGAGGAGACCCTCTCCACCTGAGGGTCCATTCACCTCTGCAGTCCCTGTTGTCCCAGGCCAGGGTGAAGCCAGCTGGGCAGGAGCAGGAGAAGCGGCCAGGTGCGTTGTGGCAGGAGTGGGAGCAGGGGCTGGGGCCATCCGAGCACTCATCCCTGTCTGGGTGGGGAGAGGTCTGGTGGTCTGTGCTCACAGGCCCCTGCAGCCGGCCAGGCAGAGTGTCCAGCTAGGGGTGAGAGGCCTCACACATCTCTGCCAGGGTGGGAGTTAAGGGCGCTCACCTACACAAAACGCTCCCTGGGGGTCGAGCTCAAAGCCTTCTGGGCAGCCAACTTCATTCTCCTCTACAAGGCAAAGGGGGGAGGCCCTAAGGACCACAGAGGGCACCCTCGCCCAAGGCCACCTGTGTGCCCAGGCTCATGGCTCCCTCCTGCCTGCTTGGTCAGGCCAGTGTCCCTGAGCCAGGTACAAAGAGCATGGGCCAGTGCTGTCCTGAGCCAGGCCGGTGCTCAGAGAGGCAGACAGCCAGTTCCCAGCCCAGGCCTGTTGGAGGGGTTGGCTGAGGGATGTGTCAAGTCGTGACAAGGTGCCCTTGAGAAGCTAATGGTAGGGCTGGGGCGATGAGTCAGGCAGACACAGGAGAAATCATTAAACCACAGAGCAGGAGGTTCACATGTGCAAAACTGTGCTTGTGAGAATTCAGAGGACCTGAATCTGCTGGCTAGGCAGTGAGGGCTTGAAGAATGGGTGAATGATAGCATTTGCTGAGGATAGCAAGAACAAGGCAGTGGACAGTGAAAAATGTGTTCTGGAGTCAGGAAGGAGACCAGATTACCTAAATAACTGCAACGACAGCACCCACCGGTGCCAGACGGGTTGTAGAGATAGAACCTGTACTCCTTATACACTGCAAGGCAGGCAATGTCATACCCATTGTGCAGATGAGAACACTGAGACTCAGAGAGGGCTAGGGTGCCCCTGAGGTCACACAGCCAGGAAGTGGTGCAGCTGAGATTTGAACCAAGGTCTATCTGGTCTCAAAGCTTATGTTCTTACCACTGACCCTTGTTCAAGGTTACAAACATTTTGGGACCTCAAATATGATAACATTTGTATCTTTAGCATCCATTGGTTGAGAAAATAGGGCATGTTCGTATGGGTTTCCAGGGGTTTAAGCAGTGGTTCCTGGCCCCCTGGGTGGGGCCCCTGGTAGAAGAGGGTGGGGAGTGGCTTGAGTCTTGAACATCAGCGGGGGTAGGGGGTGAGGGTTGTGGAGTGGGGGTGGGTGTTTGGACCTATATCCTGAGGCCTGGGAAGAGTCCCTGGATAATTTTGAACAGGAGTGGCCTGAATGAAAAGTTATCCCTACTGGGGGTACGACTAGATGGAGAGGTACAGGGACATGTTGGAGGTGGGCAGGCCAGGAAGTGAGCTGTCTCAGTTCCTGAGCACACCTGGTCTCTGGTCCGCAGATGCAAGGTGTGCGTGTGTGTGTGTACGTGTGTGTGTTTGTGTGTGTGTGCGCGCGCGCGCGTGCGTGTGCGGGTTTGTGTGTGCGTGTGTGTGTGTACGTGTGTGTATGTGTGTGTGTGTGTGCGTGCGTGTGGGGGGGGGAGTGTCACCCAGGTTTTCAGCCAGGTGTACTCAGGGCTCTTGGCAGGCTTTTAACTGGGAGAAGGGGGGTGGAGACAAAGGATGGGGCCTCACCAGTTTGCAGGGCTGTGGTAAGCTGGAAGCGCAGGACCTCGGCCTCGGGGTCAAAGGCTGTGCTCACAGCTGAGGCCCGCAGGTGCTGCACTAGCTGGGGCTGGGGGCCCCAGGCAGCGTCATACTGAATGCTATGGTTGCAGTGCAGGAATGTGGGGACACCGCCCTGGAGGAAGCGCTGCGTGGAGTCTACGAATAGCTGGCCAGGCCCGGTCTGCACATAGCGTTCCTGGAAGTCCTAGATGAGGAGGAGGGAAGGGCGAATGCCTAGGGTGTCAACTCCCAAGAGGCCTGGGACCCTTGGCCTCCACTCAAGGGGCTGAGGAGTGCTAGACAAGATGTCTTGGATAGGCCTCTCAGCTTTTCCTCCAACCAGCTGGGTGACCTTGGGCAAGTCACTTCCCTTCAGTGTTCTTGTTTATGGAATGGGGAGAACACTCCATCCCCAAGTGTCCAGGCTCAGAGCATCCTCCCCCAGGCTCAAAGTCCAAGCTATTAGTCCTTCCCCAAGTCCAAGGCCAGGCCATGACCAGACCCTGCAAGGGTGTCAGGGAGGAAAGTTGGCCCAGCTGCTAGGGGGATGGCTGTGGCAGGGCACCTAGTCCTCTCTCCCCACCCCATCTGCACACCCCCTGGGGCTGGTACTCTGAGGGGTATGAAACAGTCTCAACCCCCACCTGCACTTGAAGGTCTGCATCAGCCAGGCTCTCAGGGATGACACCATTGACCATCACGTTGAGGAGAAGTAGGCCATCAGGATCCAGACCCCGAGCCACCTGGGTCATTGTGAGCAGCTCCCCTGCAATCCCCACCCGGCCCAGAGTCACCATGGGGGAGAGTCCCTGGGCTCGGGCCTCAGCCCCATCCAGCCCACCCAGACCCTGCTCACCTGTAGCAAACTCCACTTGCGACTCCTGCTGGAAGCTGCCACCTGTCAGGGAGTGGCCGTTCAGGGCGTCCCCGTTCTCTCCAGCCAGGGTCCAGTAGATGGGGGTGATGGCGACAATGAGTATGCGCATCAGCGGCCCTGGACAGGCAGGGCAGGAGGCCAGGTTAGGGCTGGATCCTGAGGGCAGTCACTCTCCTGCTCAAGGATCCTCTGTGACTCCCTACTATTCCCAGGACAGCATCAACCCCATCCCTCCCTGCTCACACTCAGCCCCATGACTACCTGGGTCAGTTATTTAACCTGGAATCTGAAAAATGGCAAAGGCAAATACCTATGTACTTCATGGCATCGGTGTGAAGATTAACAAAATACATTTGTACAAAGAAATGTAGTAAATTGTTGATATTCAACTCAATTCAACAAATACTGATTGGTGGCCTATGGGGTCACCATAGAGCCTGGGCCTCCACAGACCCTCAATACATATTTGCTGAACTGAACTGAAATCCAACCAAGTTCCCTAAGTCGTAGACACCTTCCGAAAGTGCCCAGGAGAGGAAGGATCACTCCAAACCATTGAGTTTGAAAAAGAGTTGAAAAATTGCCCTGGACATGGCTTCTCTGATATTCATTTACGTGATGCCTGGTCCTGCTCTCAAGGCTGGGCTGTCCCATGAACTGGGGAAGGGGAAAGGTCCTGCTTGCTTAGGCTCAGGCTTAGGGTCAATCCAGCTTCTCTGTTTTGCTGCAACTGTCCACTCACAAGAGAAGTGCCAGGAGACGGATGCTTATGGAGCAGAACCTTCTCAACCTGTCTGTGCCTCCCTTTCCACTAAACAGAGCCTTGCCCACCTGGCTTGGGGCCAGAGATTCCTCCAAGGCTTCTGCTGGACTAGCCAGCCACGTCTGGGAAGCATCTTACTTTATTCACTCTCCACTGACAGCCACCTGAGTGACTCCCCAGCCAAAGCCTGTGACCCAACACCGCTCACACAGGTCTGTGGTCAAGGGCAGCTTCAGAGGGGCTACTTCTAGAAAACACTCTGTCAGCACACTCCCTCCCCTGCTCTGGATCCCTACCTGTAAGACACAGGATCCCCTAGGAAGGGTGAGAGGTCAAGGTCCATTAAGTCAGGGTTTGCAGTAATGCCCCAGGAAGATGCTGAGATGGTGAACATCTTTCCAGCACCTTCCATTTGTTTATGACACACTCTTCTATGAATTTGTTTGAAAGTGGACATTTCTTGGTTCTCTGGGTCTTCTAGCTAATTTTATTCTCTACACTTCAACCCTTTTCTGGCCCCTCCAGCTCACAATCCCTTAATCATTGCTGGCGATCTCTTTGCTTTTCTATCAGCCCCTGCCTTTAACAGTGGAAAAAGACTCCACAGCAACCAGTGGCTTCAAAAATCATCATCTGACCTCCTGCATCCACATAGCCCTTATTAGTTTACACTCTCTCTCGGTCTGATTTTAGATCTAGTTCTTTTGTTCTGTTGAGGGGGTGGCGGGGTAGGGAGGAAGCTGCCTGCACCTGAGTCCACCTCAGCTTGGATTCAGCTCCTAGTAGCGGCTGCAGTGCCAGGCAGTCGACCTCCCTCCAGAAAACAGGCCCTGAGCAAGCTCAGAGAATAGGCTCTGCCTCCTCCTGGGCCCAGCATGTATCAGAGGGTCCCCATGGGCTGGGACAATGGGCCCAGATGCAAGCCTCCACTTACCCACATTTGCAGGGATGTGGCTGATGCTGCTTCGGATGGTGATGGTCCCAGAACGTGCCTCCTGTAGCACGCTGGTGTTGAGAGTGGCCTCGCCAAATTCCTGGCCATTGATCACCCCAATCATGCTGCCCCGGCTCCCCCAGGGCTCCCCTGTGATGAAGGAAGAGAGTAACAATAGCACTTATTGTCCACCTCAGACCCTCAGTGTAAGCAGGTACTGTTATCATTCCCACTTCACAAAGCAGTAAACTGAGGCTCAGCGAGATGAAGTAACTTGCCCAAGGGCACATGGCTAAGAGGCGATGAACTCAAAGCCCAGGGGATCCTGGCTCTGAGAGAAACGAGAGGCTGTTGGAAGGAACCCTGTGCTGGAGGTGGGGGCACCAGCTTCTAATTCTGGCTCTGCCATCACCTTCCTTGAAACCTGGGCACGTCAGGCCCCCAAGCTACACCTGAGTTTGCTTATTCATAAAATGAGAAGGTGGGACCACAGGCAGGCCAAAGACCTGTTGCGTTCTAAAACGCTGGGAGCCCATGATGGCGGCAGCTGGCATGCTGGAGAAGCCAAGGGTGGGAGGCAGGGCATTAGGCCAGGGACTGAGTGCTGCCGCCTGACCTTCCTCCATTCCATCAGAGGCCCTGGCTCCAGGTGCCTGGCAGTCGGCCTGGCTGGGTGGTACCCACCAGGAAGTTTGCAAGCAGACACTCTTCCACACTAATCAGATGGTTGGTGGGGCACACGGGGGGTGCTTCCTCTGCCTAATGGACCAGCTGTCTCATTTGGGCAGATGGCATTCCAGGGGGCGAGAGACAGAAGTCAGCCTGCCTCTCCACTCACCAGCTCTCGGGGGAAATTAACAATAAATTGCCCAGGATCTGTCGAAAAAACATAAAACATTCAACTGCCAGGATCCCAAATGGGTAAATTAAGGGGCTGGTTAATTTTGAATTCCAGGAAGCAGTGCGTTTCCTGCAGCCCGAAGATGGGGTTTGATGAGATTTGATGCACATCTGGGATGTCTCCAGGGTTTATGGAACGGACAGGAGGAGAAGGGTTGTGAATCTACTCCTAGACTTTCTGTGTGTGTGTGTGTGTGTGTGTGTGTGTGTGTGGTTTTTTAAAACTTTATTTATTTTGTTGTTGTTGTTGAGAATATACACAGCAAAAAATACACCAATTCAACAGTTTCTATATGTACAATTCAGTGACATTGATTACATTCTTCGAGTTGTGCAACCATTCTCACCCTCTTTTTCTGACTTATTCTTCCCCCATTAACATACACTCACAGACCCCTAAAGTTCCTATCTAATCTTTCAAGTTGCTGTTGTCACTTTGATCCCCTATAGATAGTTCTTAAAAGAGCATAATGTTCAGGGCAGACATTCTTTACTAGTTAAGCTAAACTATTGTTTGATTTTAAGAAGACTTCTGGGAATTTTTTTGGTTTAAGGTTTAAAGATTATCTCAGGGCAATAGTTTCAGGTGTTCATCCAGCCTCTTATGGCTCCAAAAAGTCTGGATTCCATGAGAAGTTGAAATTCTTTTCTGCATTTTCTCCCGTATGATCAGGATTCTTCTATAGAATCTTTGATCCAAATGTTCAGTAATCTGCCCCTGGCCTTTTATTAAGGGGATGAGGAGGGAAGTGGGGGAGCTGCAGGTAAGAAGGCAGCAGCATGACCCAGGCAACACTGCAAGGAGCCAGGAAATTGCAACCCAGGAAAGGCAAACCACTGTCAAGTTTCTCAAACAAGGGTGACTCAGCAGCCTCTTGTCTCCCACACAGCCAGGGATAGGCCCTTCCCCTCAGGCTGACCAGGAAGGAGGGATGAAGCAGGTGGGGAGGGAAGTCAAGTTTATAGTTGATAAAAAACCAGTCGCCGTAAAGTCTACGCCAACTCGTGGTGACCCCATGTGTGTCAGAGTAGAACTGTGCTCCACACGGTTTTCAATGACTAATTTTTTGGAAGTAGATCACCAGGACTTTCTTCCGAGGTGCTTCTGGGTAGACTCAACCCTCCAATCTTTCGGTTAGCAGCTGAGCATGTTAACTGTTTGCACCACCCAGGGATATAGTTTATAGCTAACCAAAAAACAAAAACCCAAACCTGTTGCCATCAAGTCTATTCCAACTCACGGTAACCCTACGAGCAGAACTGTTCCATAGGGCTTTCTTGGCTGTAATCTTTACGGGAACAGTTCACCTGGACTTTTTGCTGCAGAGTTGCTGGGTAGGTTTGAACTGCCAACTTTTAGGTTAGCAGCCGATTGCAAAGTGCTTGTGCCACGCAGCCTCCCTTAGTTTATAGTTAGGGGCTTCTAAAACTTAGAATATTTTTTATCTAGCAAAGCCCCTTAAAGGAATTTATCCTGTAGAAATACAGACCAGCACACAAAGACAGCACCACATAGTGGTTTGTGGAGGGCTAACTGAAAGAATGGAGCCCTGATGGCACAGTGGTTAAGAGCTTGGCCGCTAAGCAAAAGGTCAGCAGTTTGAACCCACCAGCTGCTCCTTATAAACCCTATGGACCAGTTCTCCTTGGTCTTATAGGGTCTTTATGAGTTGGAATTAACTCGAAGACAATGGGGTTGGTTTTCTTAACTGCAAGAATAAACTATATTGCTTATTTAACATAGTTAACAGCAGTTAAGTTAAAAAAATGTTCTCACACAATGGAATGATATGAAGCCATTAAAGAAGATGTGGAGCTAGGTTTATTGCCATGAAATTGTTGCCCATGATAGAGTAAGTAAAAATGGCAGGTTATAAAGATAATCTGTGAATTTGACCCTGTTTGTAAGAAGAAAAAAGCATAACTCTTTACATTCAGAGAAAAAAGTATGGAAGAATATGGTCAAATAATTGTCCAAGCTATTTCTGGTCATCGAATTAAGAGATAACTGACAACTACTTTTTTCTTCACAGATTTCTGTATTATCTGACTTGTGTACAATTAGTATCTATGAGGGTGTTATGGATTGAATTGTGGCCCCTAAAAATGTGTGTCAACTTGGCTAGGCCATGATTCCCAGTATTGTGTAGCTGTCTTCCATTTTGTGATCTGATGTAATTACCTATGTATTATGAATCCTAACCTCTATGATGTTAATGAGGCAGGATTAGAGGCAGTTATGTTAATGAGGCAGGACACAATCTACAGGATTAGGTTGCACCTTGAGTCAATCTCTTTTAAGATATAAGAGAAGTGAGTAGAGAGGAGCAGGACCTCATTACCATCAAGCAAGAAGAGCCAGGAGCGAAGTGTGTCCTTTGGACTTAGGGTCCCTGCACGGAGAAGCTCCTAGACCAGGGGAAGATTGATGACAAGGACCTTCCCCCAGAGCGACAGAGAAAGCCTTCCTCTGGAGCGAGTGCCCTGAATTCGGACTTCTAGCCTCCTAAACTGGTTAAGAGCCCAGCTGCTAACCAAAATGTTGGCAGTTTGAATAACTAGTCTTTCCTTGGAAACCCTATGGGGGCAGTTCTACTCTGTCGCATAGGGTTGCTATGAGTTGGAATCGACTTGACAACAATGGGTTTTTTTTTTAAACTGTGAGAGAATAAATTTCTGTTTGTTAAAGCCATCAGCTTGTGATATTTCTGTTATAGCAGTACTAGATAACTAAGACAGGGGGAAATGTTTCCGTTAATAAAGGAACTATGTGCAGAGCTCTGTGGTTTGTGTTGGGGGCTTTTCAACAGGAGAGGGTGAGAACTGGGACCAAATTCTGAAATAAAGGGAGGATCTTCTCAGGTCTGATACGGCATCTGGGGCTGGTGTCACTGAATTTTGCACTGAATTTTCTAAACCACTGCATTTTCAGAGTTGCTTCTGTGGGCTGCAAGAGATGAGGAGATCAGGGGCCAGAAAGGGTCCCATAGTTGATTGACAGTGGGTTTCGAGTGACAGAGTATAAAGTGGGTTTCTCTTCCAGTCCCAATTCCAATTAGTCAAGAGGCACCGTCTGGAGAAGCGCTCTACGGAGAAGGATTCTGACACTGCATGTGGAGATAGGCTAGTGATGTCTGCCATGGACAGAGGCGAACACGTGAAGCAACAGATACGAAGTATTTACTAAAAAGGCATAGACCATTCAGAAGTAATATTCTATGCATTTTCTTTATGCAAATCTGAGTCATTTTACAGTGGTTTCTCAGGATAGTCCTTTTCTCAGTTTTAAAGTTTGGATTGACCCAAGGCAGCAGGGAGTCCTGAGATGGCAGAGGTTAGTAACACCATAAGCAGTATTTTTTATTGACCACCTACCATGGTCAGGCAGTGTGTAAAGCTCAGGACAAGCATTAATTCATAGACTTTCACAGCAACCCCTGAGATGGGCACCATGGATGCCCTTGTTTTACTCTGCCCACTTCCCAGGCTATAGAGTGGCTAAAGAGAGGATATGTGTTCTTGCCAAGTAAGCTGGAGTAGCCAGGTTTCCCTGCTGAAGATGAGTGCCAAACACTTAGCATCCCTAAGACTCAGTTTCCCCAACTTCAGGTGAGCAGGGTAGATAAGATGATCCCTAAGGCCCTCCCAGCTGGGTCATTCTGAGTTTGTGGCTCTTAGTAAAGAGAAGAATTGGGGAACTAGTAGGGAAGTAGGCCAGGTCCCCCAAAAGCAACACACAGATCCCCATCATGCAGAAGATGCTCCCTCTGTCCATTAAGGTTCTGGGCAGGGACACTCCATACCTCTCACAGCCAAGAATGCCTGGGCTGTGGCAGACCCCAGAAGGTTGTGAGCGACGCACTCATACACGCCCGCGTCCCTGGCTTCCACACGCTCCAACCACAGGCTCCCGTCTGGCAGGGTCTGGATCCTCCGGCTGGCCCGCAAGGGCTGGCCTGCCCGCAGCCACTCCACTGTGGGCACTGGCTCTCCAGTGGCCTGGCACCGAAGGACCACGTCCTCCCCAGATCTCACCGTTGTGTCCTGGGGCTCCACCTGGAGCACTGGGGCACCTGTGGGGGGCCCAGGGCAGCTTTTTAGGAACATTTTTGTATGTCCACGAGACACACATTCATTTAGACAGATTAGAAAATACAAAGAGGCAGAAAGATCCTAACACCCGGTCAACATTCCTGAGTATGACCTTCTAGACTTTGTATTTGCTTGTGTTTTTGTTTTCCTGATGAAAATATGATCACATTGCACATACCCACTTTTTATTTTACTCCACAGTAGCTTATATTTGAAAAGAAGATAGTAAAGGAGGAAGAGAGAAACAAAAATGATACAAGACGTACAGAAAACAAATAGCAAAATGGCAGACATAAATCTAACCACATAAATAACTACATTAAGTATGAATGGGCTAAACACTACAATCAAAAAGTAGAATTGACAGACTTGTCTCGAGCCAAAAACCTACCCCCATCCATGACAAAAACTCTCAACAAACTAGCAATAAAATAAAATTTCCTCAACCTTACAAAGGACATCTAGAAAAAAAAAAACTATAGCTAAGATCGTACTCAACGGCGGAAGACTGGATGTTCTTCCCCCTAAAATGAAAACAAGGCAAGGATGTACGCTCTCGCCACTTTTATTCAACATTGCACTGGAGGTTCCAGCCAATGCAATATGGCAATAAAGAGAAATTAAAGGTATACAGATTGGAAAGGAAGAGGTAATATTGTCTTTAATCATAAACATGATCTTATATGTAGAAAATCCTAAGGAATCTGACAAAAACAAACAAAACAAAATAAAAAACCTAGAACTAGAAAACTAATTTATCAAGGTTATAGGGTACAAGATCCAGATATAAAAATCAATTGCACCTATATATATTAGCAATGAACAATAGAAAAATCTAACCAAGAAAATAATTCCATTTTCAAAAGCATTAAAAAAAAAATACTTAGTAATAAATTTAACAAAAGAAGTACAAGATCTATACACTGAAAACTACAAAACACTGCTGAAAGAAATTAAAGAAGACCGAAATAAATTTTACTGGAAAATTGGATTTCAATATGCAAAAAAAAGGAACTTAGGTCCTTACCTTACACAAAAATTGACTCAAAAAACAGATCATAAATCTAAATGTAAGAACTAAAACTGTAAAACTTCTAGAAGAAAATGTGACTTTAGGTTAACCAAAGATTTTTAAAAATATAATGCCAAACACAGGATCCATAAAAAACAAAATTAATAAATTTGGATTTAATCAAATATTAACACTTTTGCTCTCCAAGGCACCATTGAGAAAATATAAAGACAAAAATATTTGAAATGCTTTTAAATCATATATCTGATAAAGAACTTGTATCTCGATTACATGTAAAGAACTGTCACAAGCAATCCAATTAAAAAATAGGCAAAAGATTTGAATAGGTACTTGACCAAAAAAGATATATGAATGCCTAATAAGACTTGAAAAGATGCTCATTAGTCATTACAGAAATGCAAACTAAAACCACTTCACACCTACTGTTGTTAGAAGTCATAGAGTCAATTTCAACTCATAGTGACCCCATGTGACAGAGCAGAACTGCCTCATAGGGTTTTTTAGGCCGTGATCTTTATAGGAGCAGATGGCCAGGTCTTTCTCCCAAGGAGCTGCTGGGTGGGTTCGAACCACGAACCTTTCAGTTAGCAGCTGATTGCTTAACCATTGTGTCACCATGCCTCCTTTCATACCCACTAGAATGGTTACAATAAAAGACCGACATTACCAAGTGTTGGTGAATATGTGGAGAAACCGAAACCCTCATACAGGGCTGATGGGAAAGTAAAATAGTTCAGCCACTTTGCAAAAATAATTTGGCAGTTCTTATGAAGTTAAACATACACTTACCATACAATCCAACAATTATACTCCTAGATATCTACCCAAGAGAAGTGAGAACATACATCCACACTAAGACTTGTAGGTGAGTAATCTGGGAGTAAAAACTATTCTATTTTCTGATCTGGATGCGGGTTAGATGGGTGGGTTCACTTTATGAAGATACACTGAGCCATACACTTACTGATACTTAAGGTACACTTCTCTGTATGTGTTTTAATCTTCAATAAAAAAGTTTGTTTTTTTTAAATTTTATTAAAAAGTCCGTATCTAGACTGGTTCATAGGGTTATTCTGGGGCACAAATAGTGCTTTGTAAACTACAAGCTGCTTGGCAATTGCAAGGGCTGTTGCTGTGATCAGGTGATATTTTTGAGTTTTGCATGCCCTGTTCCCTCCAGGTCTGGGTATTCATTAGCTCCGACCCTGAGTAACCACCCCACTTTGAAAAGCGTTTCATAAGACTTGAATTGTGTGTTCTGAATAAATACCATATTTTTACGCAAATAACACGTACCTTTTACGTTTGTTTGCCAACTGCTCCCTCCCCAACCCCAGGGAGATATTTTTGAAAGCACCACTATACCTTTTTTTTTCTTGTTGTTGTGAAAAAAAAAAGAAGAAGAAGAAGAAGAAGCAAGGCACATTTACAAAAATACCTCCTGGGGTGAGGGAGTGGTTGGCAAACCAGCATAAACTTGTAGCAGATTTCTAAGTCCCGGGGTCCTGCCTCTCTCTCCTCTGTTCTTATCAGACAGCCATGGCCACCAGTCACAGCTTCAGCATAGCTCTCCCCTGAGTGTCTACTTCATACCATCCCCGTCTCTGCCCTTCTGAGAAGAGACTGAAGCCAGGAAAAGGGGAGGCTGAGACTCACTCTGAAGTACGAGAATCACCACTTTCTCCACCAAACCCATCTCGTTCTCTGCCAGGCATTGGTACCGTCCAGCGTCGTCCATCTGCAGATGGGCACAGAAGTGGGGAGCGAGGTGTCAGGAGAAGAGGGCGAGGAGGAGAGAAGCAGCTCAGGGCTGCTGGGCATGGAAAGGGGCACTGGACCAAGACCCAACTAATCAGGAAGGAGCTGAGAGCATAAATCAGCCAGGGGCCCATGGATTCCCCCACAAAGCACCAAAGCCCTTTGTGGCCACTTGTCAATAGGAATTCAAAGAGAATCCAGCCCCAGTTCCCACCGTGGAACCACATGCTGGAAATAGCACAGTTTAGATCCACCTCTCTCAAACTGTGTATGTTGAAATACTATTGTTCCATGACACATTACTGGGGCTTCCTTGAAAAACACTTTCTGTGGTTAAATAAGTTTGGGAAAAATTGACTTAGATAACAAAATGTTTCTGAACTGTAGTATTTCTCAGGGCTTTTATTGCACTGGTGGGCATCGTGAGTCTTCCAGAATGGGAGACGGTTTGCAGCATTTCCCTAACTTAGGTGATAAACTCATTGCAGTGGAGTTAATTCTGGCTTATAGCGACCCTAAAGGACAGAGTAGAACTGCCCGATAGGGTTTCCAAGGCTGAAATCTTTACGGAAGCAGACTGCCACATCTTTCTCCCACAGAGTGGCTGGTGGGTTCGAACCATCAACCTTTTGGTTAGCAGTCAAGTGCTTTAACCACTGCACCACCAGAGCTCTTTAAAAAACCCATTGCCGTAGAGTTGATTCCAACTCATAGTAACCCTATAGGACAGAGTAGAACTGCCCTATAGGGTTCCCAAGGGGCGGCTGGTGGATTTGAACTTCTGACCTTTTGGTTAGCAGCCAAGCTGTTAACTACTGTGCCACCAGGGCTGCATAGTCCCCCGATTTTACAGATGATGACATTGAGGGTCAGAGAAACAAGTTTACATCCTGTGAAATTTTGTTCACAGGATATCCATGAACATGGATGTTATGGAACTCAGGAAAAACACTAGTTCAGATTCACTTCTGGGTAGCAGCGCTGCCATGAGATGGAGCTGGGGTGTTGCTTGGGGCCACTGTTCACACCTAAACGATGATATCCTGGAGGCTTCATCCAAGGGACCATCAGGGAGCAACATGGCACAGTGAAGACTGTATATTTGGGGGTCAGACTAATATGGGACTAAATCCTAGCTTCACCATTTATCATACCAAGTCCATTACCATGTCTCTGGAGCCTCAGTGTCCCCATCTTTAAAACGGGGAAAATAATTGCTAGGAGTGTTGTCAGCATTAAATAAAATGATGTTTGCTACAGGGAAGTCAGCACAACTGGACTAAACCAAAGCTAAGAAGTTTCCTGAATACAACCAAACACTTCCAGGGACAGAGTAGCAGGGGCAGGGGTTTGGGGACCATGGTTTCAGGGGACATCTAGGTCAATTGGCATAACAAAGTTTATTAAGAAAATATTCCGCATCCCATTTTGGTGAGTGGTGTCTGGGGTCTTAAAAGCTAATGAGCGGCCATCTAAGATGCATCAATTGGTCACAACCCAAGTGGAGCAAAGGAGAATGACTAACACCAAAGACACAAGGAAAGTATTAGCCAAAGAGACAGAAAGGGCCACATAAACCAGAGACATCATCAGCCTGAGACCAGAAGAACTAGATGGTGCCCAGGTACCACCAATGACTACCCTGACAAGGAACACAACAGAGAGTCCCTGCTGGAGCAGGAGAAAGGTGGGGTGCAGAACTCAAATTCCAGTAAAAAGACCAGACTTAATGGTTTGACTGAGACTGGAGGGGCCCTGGAAGACATGGCCCGTGGACTCTCTGTTAGCCCAAAACTAAAACCGTTCCTGAGGCCAACTCTTCAGACAAAGATTAGACTGGACTATGGGACATAAAATGATACTTGTGAAGAGTGTGCTTCTAAGCTCAAGTAGATACATGAGACCAAACGGGCAGTGCCTGTCCAGAGGCAAGATGAGAAAGCAGAGAGGGTCAAGAGCTGGATGAATGGACATGGGGAATCAGGGGTGGAAAGGAGGAGTGTGCTGTCACAGTAAGGGGAGAGCAATTAGGGTCACATAACAATGTATGTATAAATTTTTGTATGAGAGACTAACTCGAATTGTAAACTTTCACTTATAGCACAACAATAAAAAAAAAAAAGAATGTTTATAAAATACAATGATGTTTGCAAAGTGCAACGCGTAGTGCCTGGCCCATGGTAAGTACTCAGGTAATGGTAGTCATTATTGCTGCTGCTACTACTAGTGTTGCTATTATTACTAGTCCTATTATTACTACTACCCAGAGACAGGCTCCCAGGCTGGTAAGATCGAGGACCCCTAAGAGGAGCTTGAGTTAGGACTGAATTGTGGGTTTCTGCATGATCACTGGACTTGGGACACAGAAAAGGAAGGGGGAAGGGACAGCCCCAGTGCCCAAGGCTTTGGAAACAGCATGGCATAGGAATCAGGAGACCTGATTGTATTTCTATATATTAGCAATGAACAATAATAATAATAATAATAAACTAAGAAAACAATTCCATTCACAACAGCATTAAAAAGAATAAAATACATAGAGATAGGTCCTGCCTCTGTAACTTTCTGGTTGTGGGGTGCTGGGCAAGTCCCTTTGCCTGTCTGCACTTCAGCGTCTTCATCTGTAAAATGCGGGTACTATTATCTGCCTAGCCTGCTCCATGAGGTTATTAAAAATAATAACGTTTATTGGCCACAACTCATGGACCAGACGTGCTTAAATACCTGGGAAGCTTCATCTCACTGATTCTATGAGGTAGAAACAACATTGGCCCCGTTGGATGATGCAGTGGTTAAAGCTCTTGGCTGCTAACTGAAAGGTTGGCAGTTCAAACCTACCAGCTGCTCTTTAGGAGAAAGATGTGGCAGTCTGCCTCTGTAAAGATTACAGCCTTGGAAACCCTATGGTGCAGTTCTGCTCTGTCCTATAGGGTCGCTGTGAGTTGACAGCAGTGGGTTTTTGTTTGATGAATGGGTGGGGTAACTAAGGCACAGAATAATTAAGTCACTGGGAGGATCTCTGGATAACAGGCAGGAAAATGCTTTGTAAACTGTGGAGTGTGGTGCCAACCTGAAGAACCCTCCTGAGCAGTCAGAAAGAGCCTAGGGTTGTCCCTGGTGGCCCCACCTCCAAGCTTCAGGCCCCTCTTTACCTCAGTCCTGCGGATGGTCAGTGAGCCGTTCTGCAGCCGGTGCCAGAGACGGCTGCCCCGAAGTGGAAGGCCATCCTTCATCCAGCGGATGCTGGGCACCGGGTCTCCATGGACCACACAGTCCAACCGGATGCTGCTCCCCACAGGTTCCACCAGGTAGGAGAAGGCCTTCCCTTGAAGGACAGGAGCCTCTGCACAGAGTGACATCAGATGAGGGGTCAGGAAGGAGATTCCCTTCAGGCTCAGTCTTGCCCAACCTCTGCCTTCAGGGGCCTTCAGAGTCTCCTAGTAGCCCAGCATGGCTGTGTAGAGTCAATACATCAAGGAAGGCAAACAACTCCATGTCATGGGCCAAATCAAAAAGACTGGTAGGGGATACCAGGAGCACTGTGGTGAGAAGGATTTTGACGCTGAGTGGGAATAGTGCTATGATTGATTAGTGATGCCTGAGACAGGCACAGGTAGGAAGGTATTGTTCTGTGTATCAGATATTCTCTCTCATAGGTGGATTACCCCAGCTGCACGGCTCCTTGCCAGGTACTTTGGAAAACAAGAACTATATGATCATTAAGACGCCTCTGTTGTACACAGCAACAGGTTTCTTTGATCTTCATTTCATGTGAATTTCTAACACTCTTGGATGCCCTTTGCAATTTCCATTCTTTCTGGTTTCCTGAGGTTGAATCTACCAAAAGCTGCCACTGTGTCCTGGTGTCCTGGGCTGTTCATTCCTCTCCAGCAAGCCCCATCCCTCCCCACGCATTCTAAAGTTGCGCAAACTAAGTCATGGTGTCACTGAGGATTACAGTGCTGCTCCTGGAGGAGCAGGGCCATCGGGGATGACCTGCAGGGATTTTTCCGCAAGGGTACCCTGGCCCCCATGCCTTCCTCCCACACTGACACTGCCCAGCTGGGGTTAGTGCTACAGGCCACTCTGTCAGATCCCCAATTCTACCTGTACCTAGAGTCTTCTGGGGAGCAAAAAAATACTGAGGTGTGGGCCCCACCCCAGAGGTTCTGATTTAGTCTGGGGTGGAACCTGGTCCTCGGTACTCTATGAAGTTCCCTAGCGGGGGCTCTAATGTGCCAGGTTAAAGAGATACTCATTAACAGGCCAGGGGGCCAGTACCAAAAAAAAAAAAAAAAGTCATTTGGGTTGGTTCTGAAAAGGACTGAGAGAGAAAGGCCACTCAGGCACGCCCTACCCTTCACGTGGATGAAGCTGACCGTTTGCACACGACCCACTGTGTTCTCTGCCCAGCAGACGTAGATCCCGCTGTCCTCTCTGGTGACCGCCACTCGCTGCAGCGTGCTGCCCCCATCCTGTTCTGACACCCCCTCTGTGGTGGAAAAAGAGGCACACCAGGGGGACTCTGAGCCCAGGGTGACAGGGACCTCCTGCCCTGAACACTTAACTCAGGCCTGGGGACCCAGCAGGTACTTAATAAAGGTGTGGAAAACAAGCGTCCCTTCTTCCCAGGTGGAAGCCTAACCAAGTCACACATGGTTGCGGAAGGCACAGGCCATATTTGAGGATGTGACGAAAGGACCGCCTTTTCTCATTTTGAGGTCCACACAACGACTGTGATGAGCGGTCAAGGGCAGGTCTTTGGAGAACTACTAACATATGGCATATACTAAACATTGCTGTGGTTTATGTGCAGATGGAATCTATCGATGGGCTTTAAAACAGTTTTTGTCATGGATTAGACATTGCCCTTACCACAGGAATAGGGACAAGTGCTACCACTGATCAGACATTTGCCGAGGGGCTGAGCTCCTGATGTCATGTTCTAATGTAGAAAAGTGTCGCTTTGCAGTGGAGAGGCCTTAGGGATTCATCAATTCAGCAGACGCTTATTGAGCACCTGCTATGAACCCTGAGGGCTCTGTGCCTTCCTGAACATCTCCTAGGTCCCAGAGGGGAAGACAGCACCCCCTAGGGAAAGAGGTTCGCAGAGCACGCCTCTCCACCGCGCCCGAGGTCTCCAGGGTGAGTCTTCTTCGTAGGTGGCTTCTCACGCACTCTGATGTGTGGCTGGGGCAGGGTGGCCACACATGGGCTTGCCTTGACACCCACCCCCCGCCCAGAGCCAAGTCTGGAGACCCAGAACCCATAGGACCAACTAGCATTCTCTTCGCCTCCACTAACTAGGGTCTGCCCACCTGCCCGCCCCTCCTTGAGCTCCCAGGGCCCCGGGAGCCCTCCCACCCGCCCCTAGCAGGCCTAGACCTGTGACCAGCCGGTCATTGATGGTCCAGCCAATGCGGGGGGTGGGACTTCCCCGGGCCGCACACCGAAGCCACAGTCTCTCCCCCAGGCGTAGGCTGCGGTCTCCAGGCAGGGTGGTCAATACAGGCGGCGCCAGGATGGTGAGGTTCACGCGGCTGCGGGCGCGGCCCACAGCGTTCTGAGCCGTGCAGGTGTAGGCACCAGCGTCCTGGCTCTATGTGTGGAGGGAGAGGTCAGCCTGAGAAGTGGGCCTCTGGTCTGGGCCAGAATGTCCTCAGGACCCGCTCCCCAACATGACTGGGACTGGGGAGGACATCCAACATCAGGGTGGTTTGAGAATAAACATGTGTAGTTTGGGGACACAAAGCCTTCACCTACTCCCAGGCCTAGGCTCCCTCCCCGCCACTGGCATGGAGGCCCAGGTGCAAATCTTGGTTCTGCCTCTGGGCAACAACGTGTCTTGAGAAAACCAGGTTATGCTCTGAACCTTAGTTTTCTTATCTGTATGTGGGGAAGGTTCTTGGGATTAAAAGACTGCATGAGGCTCAGTGCCAAGCATGAGAAAGAGTGGGTGCTCAGCCAATGTTTGCTCCTGTCGTTGCTACAATTATTCCCCACTGTGCTCCGCGGGCCGGGCACTCACCTCTGAGTTCTTCACCAGCAGCTCCCCAGAAGGCTGGATGGTGAACTTGCCCTCAGCTCCAGACACAGGCTGACCATCTTTTTCCCAGGTAATGCTGGGCTCGGGGCTGCCCCTGGCAGTGCAGGGCAAGAGGGCGTTGGAGCCTTCAGTGGTGGACAGGTCGGGGAGGCCAGTCTCAATCATGGGTGGGACTGGGGGGAAGAGGAAGGTCTACTCGGGGCTGGACTCTGGCTGGGCTGGGGTGGGCTGCCCCTGCCCCAGGGTCCGTGGCACTTGGCACGATCCCTCAGCCCCTTCCTCCACCCCCATTTGTTTTCCCTACAAACTCTCTGGTCGTAGGCCATCATCTGTGGCCTGGATGAGTTCAGGATTCTCTAGAGTTTGGTGAAGATGTATGTTATGGGTTGGATTGTGTTCCCCCAAAATATGTGTTGGAATCCTAACCCCTATACCTGTGGATGTGATCATGTTTGGAAACAGGGTTTTCTTTGTTATGTTATGTTAATTTGATCATACCTGAGAAGGATGCTTTCTAAATCTAATCACTTCTGAATGATAAAAAGCAGAACGGATACAGAGACCCATACAGAGGGGAAGACAGATGCCAAGTGAGGATCGCCAAGGGACGCCTAGGGCTATCGATAGGGAAGGAACTGACATGTCCAAGACCCTGATTTGGATTTGCAGCCTCCGGAACTGTGAGAAAATAAACTTCTGTTCTTTAAAGCCACCCATGTGTGGTATTCCTGTTATGGCAGCACTAGATAACTAAGATACTGTGGCAGGGTGACCCCATGGCACAAGCGCACACACACGTGCGCGCGCGCACACACACACACACACACGCTGACTAAAAGCTTCAGCAGAGGGGCCTCTCTAATCAGGTTCCACTTCGGCACAGACTTCTCCTGTCAGGCAACCCCCAGGGCCAAAAGTGGGACAGCTGTCACCAAGCCCATGCGCCTTCCTTTTCTGGGGAGGAGCGATACCAGGGCAGAGTGAAGGCTGCTGGCTGGACAAGTCTGGGGTCTGGGTCCTCTGGTGACCAGCAGCTATGCTCCAAGTCACAGGGAATAGGACACACGATCAAGGAGGTTCGGGGAGCAGGCATGGAGCCAGGAGCCCCTCTGAGTTCACAGCCAAAGTCAGAAGGTGGAGGCAGAGTCAACCCCAGTGACACACAGCAGCCCACAGGCACAACCGCCCGAAACATGGCACCTAAGAAGACCGCTTGGAGCAAAGCACGGATCGATCCGTATCAAACATTCCCAGGACGTTTTGTAGAGTTTTGGTCAATCATGTCTCCTTTATCTTTGGAGACAGTGATTGTTCAAACTAAGGGAACAGCACATTTAATTTTGTGTGTATGCAAGAAAAGGGACAGAAATGTCTATTGTTACTGGAAAGTCAAAATTAATGAGGGATGTCACAGGAGGCGCCAGAGAGAAGGCAGTGGGGACAAGAATTTATTGTCAGAAGACTGACTCTGGGGGCCAGATGAGAGAGGATGTTTTCCCTCAGTTCCTTCTACATATACCCACAAGTAGTGCTTGGGTTGGGAGGATACTGCGACATGCCCTGATCTGGTCAGCCCTAACCCCTCTCCATCAGAGGAAAAACCTCCCAGGAGCTGTCGCTCACTGGGGGCTGCCTCGGCTCCTCCCTGGGGCCCACCTTGCACCACCAGCCGAGTTTTCCCCATGGTACTGCCTGCACTGTTCTGGGCGATGCAGAAATAGTTCCCGGCATCCTCTGGGCTGGCATGGATAATCCGTAGCTGTCCACTAGGGAGGACCTGGTTATTTGTTCCTGGATGTGGTGGGAGAAAATCAGGGGCAAGGGGCAGGGATGGCTTGGATTATTCTGTCTGATCAGGCAGCCGAGGTGACTTGCTGTGGTCACAGGGTGAGTGAGTGGGATAGCCTGGCCGAGAGCTCCCTGGGCTGCCCCTCTCCCCAACCTCCCAACTCGACCTCCGAGCGCCCAGATGGAATCCAGGCTCTGGGGTGGTAAAAGGAGAAGGAAAGAGATGGGGGTAAAGCCCGGGCAGGGGCCACAGTGGGTGGGGGGTGGGGGGAGGCGTGCATGTGGCAGGGCAGGGGCTTTCTGGAAGCCTCTCATCAGGCCAGCAGAGTGTCCTGGGCAGGAGGGAGGATGCCCAGGCCTGCACCATTCTCTCCCCTTCCCCCGCTGGCTGCCTTGGAGACTCACCTGTGGGGATGCTGAGCCCCTCCTTCTGCCAGGTGATGCTTGGCCGGGGGATGCCCAAGGCCTCACAAGGCAGTACCACCTCCTCCTCCTCTACCACCTGAACTATGCTTGGCAGTGGCTTCACCACGGGGGAGGCTGCAAAAGATCAGGGGCAGAGGTCCCTGGGACACCTTTAGCACCCAGTTCCCTCCAACAAGGTGGCCTCTGATCAGGGGAGAGAGAGGCCTCTAAAGGGACCAGGGGGTTCTGGAAACCTCCCCAAGCAGGTGGCAGGATCTGGCAAGTGGAAAGATTCTTTTCTCCCAAGGGATCCCATCAGGGAGTCAGATTAGAGGCAGGTCCAGGCATCTGGGGCCCCAGGACCCTCATCTCCATCCCCAGTCCCCCAGCTGCACCTGCCTCTACCTTTCACCTGCTCAACTGCCCCAAGGGCTCTCTTGCTCAGGGATCCTTACCTTGCACAGTGAGAAACACGTGCTTGTGGGCCATACCAGCGGAATTGCGGGCTGTGCAGGTGTACTGGCCAGCGTGGATGGGGAGGGCCTGTCTGATCTCCAGGGCACCTGTGGGTGGGAAGCAGGTGTGGAGAGGATCGAGGAGACCAGGGCAGATGTGCCCAGTAAGGGAGTGGGCCGGCTTCTTCTTTTTTTTTTTTTAATTGTTGTAGTTTAAGTGAAAGTTTACAATTCAAGTTAGTCTCTCATACAAAAATTTATACATACATTGTTATGCGACCCTAATTGCTCTCCCTATACT